ATCTACTGTCCATCGGAGAACTGTTTTTGCCAGAGCACAGGGATTAATTATTAAATTTAAATTATTTTCCCTGTGTGGGATTTCAGGTTTAGTTTTGGGCGAAAAGGGGAAGGGGGGTGTGATAATATACTGACTGCTTCTTACCAGGCATGTTGTGAAAAGCGTCCAAGTAAGGATTTTCTTAAATCAGGTGTCTTTTGCTGCAAGGTGCAGACATCACAGCCAAGCTGTAAACCACGAGGTTCCAACCACCATCTTAAGGGCCAATGCAGACGACAGTGATCAATCAATTAATCAGGTGCCACCTCCACAATAAACGTTGGCTGAAAGGACCTATAACCTCTCTTGCCTTGGCAATACACGCTTTCTGCTAATTTAGAGACTCAAAAAGCATGCTGATAAAGGTGAAGACAGGGTTGCTTAGAGCAGAGTAGCAAGTTTCACTAGGAAGGTCACGGGTAGTGAGCATACTTTGGATCTCTTCTCCAGGCTATGCCGGTGTGGTGAGGAATAAAAAGGCAGATTGGCGGGATCTACACCGCTGAGTGGGGAATCGATGCATGACAAGATAGATGTGGTCAGGGCCCTTTGGGAATTGGGAACAAGTAAAGCAATCAGAAGAAAAACTGGATTATCATGACCTAGAGAGAATGTCAATGATGTACCTGGGTGTGGCCAGAGGAAAGGCAAGACGAACTTTCAACCAAACTACGAATTGCATCATTAGTATTAGTACTCTGTGCAGGCTGCTGACGATGGTGAAGGAGCACATATGGGAGTGCCCCGAGTGCTGTGATGTCAATTCTGGACTCAACACGGCTTAACAGATCACGACCATTGGCTGGAGCAACGTTGCAGCTCATCCCACAGGTGCTAAATCGGACTCATGCCTGCAGAAGGGATAGCCAGGGAAGGGTTTCAATGTCATTGGCAGCCAGGAACTGTGGTCAACTGTGCAGATGTGGTCTGGCGTTGTCCTATTGAAAAAGATATCTGTTGGCATCCCAAAATGGAAGGACATGTGGTCGAAGAATTTCATGGATGTAACGTTGCGCATTCAAGCTTCCTTCAATGTGCACCACTTGACTCCTTCCCGTTGTAACTGATCATTCCCCATACCATTAGACCTCCACCACCGTGCAGCAGAGCTTCATCAGCACAATTTTGGGCTAAACCTTTATTTCATCTATGGCAGACCCTACGCCGTCTATCATGACGCTACAAAAGAAAAAAAGATTCGTCACTAAACCAGACACGTCCCCACTGATTGTCACTTGCCTAGGGACGATGTTGGTTGGCCCAAAGAAGTCGATTTTGGCGGTGGCGATGCGTAAGGACAGGTCCTCTGTGTGGTCGTCGAGCCCAAAGTCCAACATCATGCAGTCTGTCCCGAACAGTTTGATCAGACACACGACATCCTGGAGGCAATGCCTGTGCAGTTGAGAAAGCTGTTGTAAACCTGTCTCTGAGGTGACAAAGTCGAATAAGGCGATTCTTTGCTGCTGTTGTCACTCTGGGTCTTCCGCTGCAATGTCGGTCTTCAACTGAACCCATGGCTTGGAACCGGTGCCAAAGTCGACTGATGGTACTCTGATGCACGTTTAGATGCCTGGCAACCTAACTTTGACTTTCTCCTGCCTGCAATCTGTCAATAGCAACATTCCTTAAATGTATCGATAGAGGCGCCATTCGTGATTGCTTGAAAATGAACTGATGGTTTTTGTGTAGCGTTATCCTTTTATGGGGTTTCAATTGCGTAGGCAGTGAATAGTGTTCACCGCAAATTGTGTTGCTTTCTTGTGCGCACATGGTGAGCTATACTCACAAATATGGTCTTAAACACACTGGACCACTGCGTTGAAACGATTACAAAACCCACACAATTCACACCCACATGCCCACTGGACACTGTAAACAACATTTGAGTCTGCTTTTCACATACCCGAGTATTTTATTTACAAACTAATAAAAATGCACGATCGGATAACTATGCATTTCTTTTTTTCAACAGTATATCAACACTAAAGCTATTTGTATAAAAATTATATGGTTCTCCCCCTCTTACCCCCCCCCCCCCCCCCTTTTCCCCCTTCATCCCACTAATCACTGCAATAGAGATTGGCTGCAGTGCACGCAGTGCTGTCTTTGGGAACATAGCATTGTAAGACCCTGATCTTTCATAATTGACTCTCAGTCTTGTAAAGCGGTAAAATATTTCACCTATTTCTTTGTTTCTTAATCCTTTCACTTAGTAACAATCTTTACAAAATGTCTTTTTCTCTCTCCACATTTTGCCATCAAATATGCATTCTTATAATTCTCTAAAATTATTCACTGAGGATTTAGATGAAGAAGACAAAATTTGGAGTCTTGGTTTTCCTAAATATCCAGGAGGTTTAACCTCCAAACTGCCTAGAAGACCAGCTGGTGTGAGGTCCTCTGCTTCCGTGCTGATGTCACACCATTAAAAAATTACATTGTTGTTGTTTTTTTTCTAAACACTAAATGTCTAAATCAGGAACTAATTGTATTTCTACATGAAGGGAGGTAAGCACTAAACACAAACGAAGCAAAGGATTGCCTGATTTCCTTCCCTTTGACCATTTAAAAGTGGTTTTGGTTACTGCAATTGACATCGATGTGACATTACAAAGTTATTTAACATCATAAAGAATTTTTTCTCTCCATTTTTTACACAAAAAAGAATATTTTATGCAATCTTTCCTTGTCAACTGAGATGAGAAAGATAATTCTTTAAAGCTATATAAATCCTATCTTAATATCCAGAAGTGAATCATGGACATTTGGATGATTAGTTAAAAATTATTTGAAAGCTGCGAAGATGCAGTTTTAAAGAAAGAATAGACTCACGAAAACAACCGACTGCCAACATCAGAAAGAGGCAAACTACACTGTTTGGTAATGTGATCCCTAGGAGAAATATGGAGTGAAAGTAGGAAAGTTGGAGGGGAAAGGCAGAGGGAGACGGAGAGAATAGATGCTGGGCAATTTGACACTATGGCTCGGAAGATCGTCTGTGTCAGAGTTGACTGAAAGTACAGGAGACAGAAGGTTGCGGAGACACACGACTACCAAGTGGCATGGACTTTAAGAAGACCCATGACCTAATCTTCTGCATCTATATAGTTTCTTTGGTTATTTCTTTCTGTTCCTGATCTTTTAAGCAATTAACAAGAGACAATTAGGTCAGTGTGATGTCTGCTTCATTCAAGGTGGTATTCTCAGGGCCAGGGTGGGGCTTTGAAAATCCTTGGGAAGATCACGAGTGAGCAGGCAAGATTTTACCACTGGCGGGTATGATTAATAGCCTGCATACATATTTAAACTGGCTCCAGGTATTGTCCTGGGAAATAAAAGCGGCTGATATGATGCTGACCATAAAGAATGAAACATCATTCCCACTGGATGCAAAGAAAAGGACAAAGTCAAATTCACATAAAACTCAATGTTTAATCTCAACACCTCCCATTGTGTCAATTAAAAACATAGACAAGGGTACCTAAAACAATGACCGGCACATGATTCAAGCAGCTAAAATGGTTCTTTCTTTAAATCCTACCCCCAGATGACGTCACAGGACAGTCCAACATTTTAGAGGGTGGTAAGACTGGGCTTCCCGGCTTTCTGAAGCTGTTAATAACCTCAAAACATCTAGAACTGGTCCTAACCCCAACCCACCTACATTCAACGAGAGAGTGCAGCCTAGGTCCCACGACAGCATGCAGAATATGAACAACCCCCTGGAATATTAGACTGATCCATGACCTGTGGATTTCCTCTGTTTGGGGTAGGATATTAAAAAAGCACAACCAAAACAAAAGGCATTATACATGTGCAATAAAATTTCGTTTTACAAATTCAGCACACAAAAAAAGTAAAACACTTATCTGGCAATGGGTCTTTTTTTATTTAACAAGCTTTTATTAAGTTGGGGTTTGTTTGTTTGTCTGGTTCAATATATATTTTTTCATGTCAACTTTCTTCTTCTGCCTGTTTTGAGATGACCATGCTTGAGGCCATAAGATTGAGGTGTTAAATCTGCCAATTACAATTCTAGAAAAGAAAAACTACCTACCAGATCCTGCTAAATGATTATGAAGGAATGACAGAGCTGAGCATTTTGACCTTCTGCTTGAAGAAAATGAATCACACCATGAATTAGTTTCACAGCTGGAGGGACAGGCAATGACAGAGTCCACGTTGATTCTTTCACGGTTTGTGGACCACTGAACAAATGCGCCTGTAGATTAATGTGTAGTGAGCTGAAGGGCTACTGAATGCTGCAAGCAATGAATGTTGTCGCTATGACAACAGGTTTATCTTTACCAGCCAATTGGAGGTTGATTTGTGGTGTCAAATGTCTTCTCTTTAAAGGATTTTGCTTGAACTTCCTTGGGGGTCATTACATAATGTGTTTTTTTTTCAAGCATTACAGAGGCAATATGGTTAATATCCTCCCAGTTTTATTCCCATAAGTCAGTAATATTTTTAATCTTCCTTAATTTCTTTGATTCAAATGCAAGGACATGCTAGTTTTCCTAATTACTGGTGTTTTCTTTTAAAAAAATTTAAAATTTAGTTCTCGTCTAACATACAGCATTAAGTGATAATGACATACCATTTAATTAACAAATATTGCTGTTGTAAAGCTTGGTTGTTCTTTACCAATTCTATTTTTTCAGCAAACATTTAAGAGTAATGTTTTAATTCGTTATTCAACAAACAACACTTGAGTTTTACCATCTTTTTTCAACAATCATCATTAATTATGTAATATTTTAATGTTTAATAAACAGTAAAAAAGTCTTACTACATCTGTTTAATACACATCATGAATCATCTTTTTATGGATAGTTTAACAAACAGAACAGAGCTTCGCCACATCTGTTTAACAAACATCATATTGTCCTCAATTGTTTAACAAACACCATAAAGTCTTCACCGTATCTACATCACATATGTTCAGCGGTCCAGACCCTCTATCCTTTATTGTATCTGTTTCCTTCCCCTCGCCTGTGGTCTGTAGAGGAAACACCAAATATTAAACGTGAAATTAACTGGATAAATTCAACACTGCTTTCTTCTTTACTGTACACTGTTTTGCCTTTCGGCATCGGGTTCTGTAGAGGCGAGCGTTCGTGTGTATTACATAGATGCTGGTTTTCGCTGGCCTAGATATTTAATATTTGATTTGGTTTGATTCAAGAACCGACATCATAGCACTCGGGGCATTCCCATAAGCGCTCCGTCCCCATCTTCAGCAGCCAGCGAAGAGTTCCGATACTAATGGTGCCAGTAGCATTCTGATGAAACGTCCGTCTTGCCTTTCCTCTGAGCCTCAAGCATCTGCCAGAACCTCTCGTCCCTCCACGCTGCATCAGTCTCACCAGACTGTGGTGATCCATCAGCTCCTCCAAACTGTACTCTCTCTCCCACAAGGCACTAACCACGTCTGTCTTATCATGTATCAGTATTCCACCAAGTTGTGCAGAGCCAGCCAGTCTGTCCGCCTGTTCATTTTCCAACACACTGGCGTGACCCGGTGAAAAAATCCAGACATAGATATTTAAACAAATTAATTTGTGTGTGTGGTCAACTCTAGATCTGCTTCCCTTGAGTCTAAGTGACTGGGCTTTCTGTCATGCACTATTCTGTGGTGGTCCTGATACATGTCCAAACCACTGTCACTTGATCTAGATTAGTAGTTCCATCCCAACTTGTTTCCTGATATAGTCATTTCTGATTCAGTCTCTTCAAAGTACATTTAGGATTATTTGTAGATAATTCATTTCTGCGTGTGTGTTTTTTTTTTCGTTTTTTTATTTTTTTTTATTTTCATCTTTTCCTGTTAGTGTTCACGTTTGCCACTGGTAACACAATGTTAGTAAACCTGCCTCCTTACCAATAATAACCTGTGTATCAATGGGGGGGGGGGTGGGGGGGGGGTGGGGGGGGGGGTGGTGTGGGGGGGGGGGTGGTGGGGGGGGGGGGGGGGGGGAGGGGGGGGGGGGGGGGGGGGGGGGGTGGGGGAGGGGGGTGGGGGGGGGGGGGGGGGGGGGGGGGGAGAGAAACCAAACATACTGTCCACAGGAAAAAACTGTATGTCACCTAAAAATAAAAAATAAATGAGGAAGAAATCGAACGAAAAAGTCACAATTCTGAATATCTGCGCTTCATAATAAATAGCAATGGAGAGACTGTTCGACAGACATCAAAAGGAGGATAGCCACAACAATAGAAAGATTAAACAGCTTTAAATGTCTATGGTTAAGCATCAGCTAGAAAATCAAAGTCACAAATTTGAGAGCATGCATCTTCCCTGTAGCAAACACATGGATGTGAGTCAACTATCTTGCAGTCATTATGGAAGAAAACATGGTCTTTTGAACTAAACTGCTATGGACAGACTCTCATAACACCATGGACCAAGAAGAAAAGAAATACTGGGGTCCTAAGAGATCGACGATGATGTCAAGAATGACTGGCTAGTCAACAATATCAAATAAACAAAGCTCCTCTGGCTGCTGCTCGTGTTCAAAGTTAGCTTGAGTGCAGTGGAGGCGATGGAGAGGAAAATCAACACATCCATGAGGAAATGGCTTGGGGGAACCGCCTTGTCTGACCCATGTGGCTCTGTATTGTAAGCAGGCTAAGCTGGTACTTCGGTTCAAGTCAATAACCAGAGAGTTTAAAGTCGGCAAAGTAAGACTTGCGATGATGCTGCGTAAGTCTTTAGACCATACGGTGGCAGCTGTCCAGCCCGCTCTAAAGACAGGTCAGAAATGGCAAGTCCTAGAAGTGATAAGATCTAGATGCACTGAAAATTGAAAGAAATCATGACGTACACACAAACCGACCAACGAGGCCTAGGAAGTCAGTTGGTGGTCCAAAGCTACGGCCAAAGAGCGCAGAAAGATGATAATACAGCAGATAATGGACGCCGAAAGCAAGACTTGGATCCAAAAAGCCGCACAGTAGTCGCAACAAGGGCAGTGGATTGACCTCGAGAGCGCCTTGCCATGAGTTCTTACATGAGGTGAGATCTGGTGAATGGCCCTGCTGCAGATGAACTTTGTAGTAAGATCTGCGTACAATGTTTTACCGTCTGGCATCAACATGGTGAAATGGCGTGCGGCTACAGACCCGACATGCCAACTTTGCAAAGCTAAGCAGACACTCGAGCACCTATTGTCTGCGTGCAGTAAAGCCCTAGGCCAGAGACATTATACTTGGCGTCACAACATAATCCTGAAAGAGTTAGGGGACGTTGTGGACCAAGCCAGGATGAGGACCAACGCGAGCGCCAGTCCTACCGTCACCCCCATGCACTTCCTCAAGGCTGGGCAGATTTATAAAGATAAAATCAACAAAGTCGCATATGCTTCTTCAATACTTGACTGTGCGAGGGACTGGTTACTGGCTGTCGACCTGCCTGGTTTTAAGAGGTCTCCAGAATCAATCCGGAAGACCGGCCTGAGACCTGTCATAGTTCTCCACTCTACGGAAAAACACCAGCTCATCCCAATTGAGCTGACCGTGCTGTATGAATGGACGAAAATCACATGTGCAAGCTCAAGAAGTACAGTGAGCTCACGGCCGGTCTGAGGAGGGATGAAGCGTACACAGTGAAAATCTTCGCCGTCGAGGTAGGCGCAAGAGGTCTTATCTCCACTTCCATGTATAATGTGCTATAACAGCTGCACCTGCAAGGAAACAAGCCTACACTGTCACTAAAACAACTAGGCGAGGCTGCTGAAAGAGCTTTTAGCTGGCTCTGGACGCAATAGAACGTCGCGGGTGATGGTCCTCAGTAGACTGGTCTGAGTCCCTGGAGGTACCAGAACTTCTTATCCGTTAAAAGCCAAAGTGTCCAACTGATGTCTGCCAGTGTCCCTCTGCCAGATGCCAAAGTCTGACAGGTGTCTGATGAACCAACCATAAACTTGTCACTTGGTCGCTATGGTAGCCGGCTGGTCTAATTGGCTACCGCAGCGACAATATATATATTTAACTTCGAATCTCAAGTACCCCGTTCCATAGTCACCATTTCGTCTTGTCCCTGTGTGAGAACATCCGGTTAAGTGCAGCAGGAGAAGATCGAGGCCTAGGGGTCACGACCCAGGTCGGCCCACCCTCTGAAATTGTCTAGGAAGTAATGGGTCAAAACAATTGTTGTCGAGGGATCTTCTACTGATGATCAGTGGACTCCTGCAGTACATGCTCCCCTGTGGAGTTCTTCTTATTATATCTTGCCTCAGAAACTGAAATATTGTGGCCATATCAAGCGCACAACAGACTGGAAAGAATATTAGCAGAGGGCATGATGCCAGGAAAGTGGGAGCAGGGGCCAACCTGTGTGAAGATGGGCACATGATATATACATATGGCTGCAGAGTCTGTTGTGTCCAGTCCACAATCTACATAGAATAACAGGTTCCTTCTATGTAGAAGCTTGATAAGATCTTTGGGGTTGTGTTCTGTACAGAAGAAGGTTTATTAGGTCTTTGGGATTGTGTTCTGCATGGGAAAAGGTTGATTACATCTTTGGGGTTGTGTTCTGCATGGGAGAAGGTTGATAACATCTTTGGGGTTGTGTTCTGCATGGAAAAAGGTTGATTAGGTCTTTGGGACTGTGTTCTGCATGGGAGAAGGTTGATTACATCTTTGGGGTTGTGTTCTGCGTGGGAGAAGGTAGATTACATCTTTGGGGTTGTGTTCTGCATGGGAGAAGGTTGATAACATCTTTGGGGTTGTGTTCTGCATGGAAAAAGGTTGATTAGGTCTTTGGGACTGTGTTCTGCATGGGAGAAGGTTGATTACATCTTTGGGGTTGTGTTCTGCGTGGGAGAAGGTAGATTACATCTTTGGGGTTGTGTTCTGTAAGGAAGAATGATGATTAGGTCTTTGGGTCATTGGGCAGTGTTCAAAATATCGGAAACCTGAATTCAAAATGCCACTTAATAAACAAACAGCACAAACAAACTAAAAAGAAAATCTACAGAACATAAACACATACCATCCTTCCAGTCATCCATTGCTCTTGCCCGTGCCAAAGCTTCTTCATCATCTCGTTCAGCCTTGAGTTCTTTCTCTGCATCTTCCTTTTCTATCTCTAAAGCATCTTGCTCAGGATTCTGAGCCCAGTTCTGCATGCTGTGCCTATTTAAGGATGCCAGGGAAAATACATTTTATTAACTCACGTATGGGTACTAAGATATGATGAAAATTGCAGCTGTTTCATTTCAAAGTGTAAAAGGTGCTACAATTCTCTAGATTTTGGTGCCAACTCTGCAAGCTGACATTTTTGGTGATTTGCTTATTTTCTGTATCATACATCTGTTGTATTCAACACTTAATCCATATTGTACTGTACGTTGTTAATACATTATCATATGCTTAAACTCTTATCCAGATAAAATGAATTTATGATAGCAAGAACTATTTCTTGGATTCCTGGCGAGTTCGCCTTAACAGGTCTGGACTATATATGCTATTTGTTAGTTTGACTCTTTCTGACCTAAGGTGTTACTATTTTAATTTGTAAAGGCACAGTGGCTACTTTAAACATGAACTTCTCAGCTAAAGTAATCACCGGCTTGAAACAAGAAAGGTTAAAACAAAAATTCTCACCCTGTATGAACTGACTCTGACAATGTTCCCTCCTTGAGTTTCTGCTCGTAAAACTCATCAACTGTCATAGTTGGCATGGATGGGTATCCCAGCCCAAAAACTTGCTTCTGAATCTGCGTCTTCGTCAGAATGAATGGCCGGAATGACTGGTAGTGAACAGAAACATGAGATAAGATGGTAATACATCAAGAGTTGAGTTGAGTCAAGAATTGACATCACAGTACTCGGGGCATTCCCATTCATGCTCGGCCCTCATCTTCAGCAGCCAGCGCAAAGCCCCAATACTGATGGTACTGGTCACAATCTGGTTAAATGTCAGTCTTGCCTTTCCTCTGAGTGTAGTCAGCCGACCAGACCCTCTGGTTATATCTAGGTGCCTCATTCTCTCCAGGCCATAATAATCTTCTTTCTCTACTCATTCCTTTGCTTGTTCCCAAAGGGCCTTGACCACATCTGCCTTGTCATGTATCAAGTCACCACTAAGTGGTGCAAATCCAGCCAATCTGCCTGGTCATCAAGAAATACCAGCAGCTAACGAGATCATTTTTAAAAAATGTGAAGTCCAACTTCGGCTTGAGAGGCAAGGAACCAACAGTCTGCATAAAAGTATGACAAATCTGTGACAGCTATAAAGGGATGTGTAGGCAAAACTCAAGTTCTGGTACAAGACTTATGTTCAGAAGTGGAGTAACAATGAGAACTTTCTGCCTAGTTTACCCCTGGTGAATACAAAGTACAAATAAATTTTTTTTTTCAAAAAATTTTTTTTTTAATTTTAAATTCTTTTAAACTATTTTGTTACATATTTTTAAAAAAAAAATTTTAATTTAAAATACTGATTATAGTACCATTTCTAGCTCTGACACTACAAGGCATTCCAGGAGGAGGACCACTTTTTTTAGTAAGATGTAAGGGGGGAGGTTTACTGAGCCTGAAGATTTAAGGCTGCATGGCTGGAGATGTTATTTTGTGTACATGCGACGCAGGAAATTGGGGAATGTACGGCTCACTGGCCAAGTGTCTAGAGGGATTCGTTAATAACAAGCATCTATCAATGTCTGTCCTCTCAACTACACACTGGATTCCATCCACCAACCACGCCGGTCACTCTCTTTGGAACGGCTCATGCTGATAGTGATTATAAATGGCGTAATGGAGGGCCAACCCAAACAAAAGGACATAATACACCACACCAAGTTCTGATCCTTCAAAGTGCCTGAGTCTTTATTATGGACGAAACATCACGACGAAGATGAAATAGTGACCGATGGCACACTGTCAAGTCTTCTACTGCCTTCCCAATACTCACATCGCCAGTCCCTCTAGACATGGACGAACCACCCCAGCGAACTAAGTCCCGGGTGCCTGCTACATGCAACTCACTTCCCACCGCGAAGATACATCTATGTGATGTGCAGTGACAATCCCTTGGTGATTCGTTCTCTAAATGACTCAGCTACCCTTGGGACAAGACAGATGCACCTCTTGGTGAAAACTCCAGACTTCCTATCTGCTATTCGAGTCACTGACCAAAGCATCACTGACCAACATCATGTCAATCAGCCTTCAAGACTATGCCCCCCTCTTTTCCCATCACAACTCCCTGGTGGTTAACACACAAGGTTCCTGGCACCTTCTGCGCCCTTACAGATACCCCGTCAACCTTGTGTCCCATAGCCACAACACTGCCAACCCCCACAAAACCTGGCTGACACAAGTCCATTCTAGACAATTACTAACAGAATTCCCAAACGTATGATATACCACAATCTTCCCAGACGGTGAAACGATAAACCAAGAAATATCACTAAATGAAACAATAAACCAAGAAATATCACCAAGTGAAACAATAAACCAAGTGAAACAATAAACCAAGAAATATCACCAAGTGAAACAACAAACCAAGAAACAGCTAGTAAAACAATAAACCAAGAAATAGTAGCACCTAGTGAAACAAATAACCAAGAAATAGCACCTAGTGAAACAATAAACCAAGAAATAGCACCTAGTGAAACAATAAACCAAGAAACAGCACCTAATGAAACAATAAACCAAGAAACAGCACCTCATCATCATCATCATGTAGCAGGTCCTTTCCAAACGTCACTCTCATCACAGTCGGCCTGTAAGAAACTCGGTCTCTTGCCAGTTCTCCAGCTTCTTGAACTTTCACACTCAAGGAGTCACTTATATCCTGTACCCATCTTTGTGTCGGTCAGCCCCCCCTCCTTCCTGGTACCATGCCTTCTGCTATGATTTTTTCCAATCTCTCCTGGCCCTTGATATGACCAAAATATTTCAGCTTTCGAGAAAGGATGCTGTTTATTAGCCAATCTTCTTTGATGTTCAGATCTTTTAAGATGTCAATATTTCTCATCTTCTCCCCCTAGTGAAACAATAAACCAAGAAATATCACCAAGAGAAACAACAAACCAAGAAATATCCCTAAATGAAACAATAAACCAAGAAGTATGACTAAATGAAACAAAAACAAAACAAACAAAAACCGTCTAGTAAAACAATAAATTAAGAAATATCACCAAGTGATTTAATACAAGAAACATCACCATAATGTCACCTAAAAATTCAGACATCTTTTTCATGATTTGGTGACAACTGTAAAAAAAAAAAAAAAAAAACTGCAGCCCTTCTAAGCGCAAAAGTGGAAAAGAAGACCAAAAATAAAACAAAATACACACCTTAACTTTTTTGGTTTCATTATTCCTCGACACATTCAACTGGCTCCCTTGTCCATTTCTGGCCATCTCTTCTCGATGTTTCAACATCTGAAGCTCAAGATTACAGCTGTCAATTTCATCGACAGCTTTACTGGCCCAGTGCTTCAACAGGGTGAGATAAAATTCTCTCTGTGGAACATTGATAAACCAGGTGTTTTTAAGTTAATCTTGCTTTAACAACGGGGTAAAATTATCTCTGTGGAACACAGATTAGCCATATGTTTTTAGGTCTTGTTTTAAGAAGTCACTCCCAACAGCCTGATGCATTTCTCTGATATGAACACACGCAAAGAAATGATAAGGTTTACCTTTACTTTGTCTTACCTCTTCCTCTTCTTGTCTTACTCTTCTTCTTCTTCTTGTCTTACTCTTCTTCTTGTCTTACTCTTCTTCTTGTCTTTCTCTTCTTCTTGTCTTACTCTTCTTTTTCTTCTTGTCTTACTCTTCTTCTTCTTCTTGTCTTACTCTTCTTCTTTTCTTACTCTTCTTTCTGTCTTTCTGCATCTCTTCTTCTTGTCTTACTCTTCTTCTTGTCTTACTCTTCTTTCTGTCTTTCTGCATCTCTTCTTCTTGTCTTACTCTTCTTCTTGTCTTACTCTTCTTCTTGTCTTACTCTTCTTCTTGTCTTACTCTTCTTTCTGTCTTTCTGCATCTCTTCTTCTTCAGTAGTATAATTTTAAAAGGGAGGAAGACCGGATTAGGAGCCTTATTAAAACATCCTTAAGATGTTTATGGAAATGATCTGCTAGCTTACTACCAGTTGTTCCCAATATATGCCTTATTAACATCCTAATGAACATCTTAAGGATATTTATTTTGAGGTTCTTAAAAATGTCTCCCTCCCTTTTAATAGTTCTGACCACCAAGGCTTGAGCAATATCTCAGGTACTGCTACAAAATCTTGCTCCGCTGGTCAAACTAGCCGCAACTCCTTAGAAAATTGTTTCATTCAAAGTTCTGGCATTCTCCTGGAAAGACTAACACATAATTAACTTTATTTAAATTTATTAATTCATTTAATGTGTTTACACTTCCCCCTCTTTATTCAAACACCTTCTTACTTATTTTGTTTTGTAATATAGCCCTTCAGTCAATATATTTCCTCGCTCCTCCCATTAAGTATTTCTTGGTTTCACACTGACCTTGGTTGTTTAGAAGCTCGAATGTCTTGTCCGCTGAGGTTTTCCAGTCACAGTGTGTGTTGTATTTAGTACAACACTGATAAAGACTCTCGTCAAAATGTTGAACTGTATTTGTGCATGCCTCTTCCATTCCCTCCTCTGAACTTTCTAGTCACATTTTATACTGCTTAGCACTTTGTGCATCAGCTTCACTATAGTTAATCCTTATTTATGCCATCACTCTTATTCCGGAGAGTGTTTTGAAGTCATCCCATTTAATTTTAATCAGTTTATTCATTCCCACCTTATGCTACCAGCGCTGACATCACTCACAACAAAACATAAAAGAAAATTAGTAACCATGGAAATAAGGTGTCTGAGAAAGACTGTAGGAGTGACCAGAAGAGATAAAATCAGGAATGAGGTCATTTGAGGTAAAATCGGTACAGAACCAATTCTAAATTACATATATAAAGACAGCAAATCAAATGGTTTGCCCACTAGGAGAGAATGCCTTCTGATGCCATACTATTCGAGGCATATACCGAAAGAGGAGAGGGACTAGAGCAAGAGGTAGACCAAGAACAACATGAAAAGATAACATCAGAGAAATTCTACAGCAAAACGATGTGCCTATGGTCGAAGCAGGACCTTATATCTCCCTCGACACCAGCAGTGGTAAAAGAGGAAGTAAAGAAGAAGAAGAATCACAGGACAGGGAGGCAGAAAAAGAAATATAAAATATATGCAGAAATGTCACCTTAATCTCATCATCCACGTGTTCTTTATCCATGTACACCTTTAAATCTGTCATCTTTTTTTCCATGGCTTTCTTTTCCTTGAATCGTTGAATTTTGTTATTTCTCTGTGCCGCTTGCAAACTGAGATCAGAATTTTGGCTGTGGAATGTCCATAAAAAAAGCTGAACAGTAAATAGTTACCCGGAACAAAAGAAGACACAAATAATAGTGTGCACAACTTATTACATGGCATGTTTTGATCTATCTCGTCTGGTGCTTACTACAGTAACAACTGAATTAAAATGAAAGAAATAAAAAATCTGTGCAGCTAATACAAAGTCAACTACAAATCTCCCTAACCAGCCGCTCCTTTGTGGGAGATTAATATCAGCCCTAAAGATATCTCCAGTCACAAAATTTATAAGGTGCCTTCTCCACAAGGAAAGTTTGCTTCAAATGATCTCGAACAGAATTTAATACCTTTGATGTACGCTCTCTCCAACTGCTTATCGTCCATCTCTTAGTGTTAACCTCCCACTTATATCACTGATTACCTCTTGCTACCAGTGTTTTAAAAAAATAAACATGTAAAATTAATCATACCTTGATGGTCGCTTAACCAATGACATTGTATTCTCCTCTTCATCATCCTCAGAATGGTGAACATCATATTGAATAACATCATAGCTTTTCAGCAGCTTCAGAAAATCTAAGTAGCAGAGCTGAAAAACAGAATAATTTTTACTTTTCTTGCAGATAAATGAAGAATGAACGAATCAAGAATTGACATCCCTGCACTTGGGACATTTCCACATGTGCTCCGTCTCCTTCTTCAGCAGCAAGAGTCAACAAGCTAAGAGTACCTGTTGCAACCTGATTAAAAGTCTGCCTATGTTTCCCCTGCTCTCCCCTCGCTGAAATAGCCTTTCAATGAATGGACATACTTGGTCTGTTCTGCGGCACTGTCCACTTGATTCCTGAGAGCCTTCACCACTTCTGCTTTATCGTAATGTAGCTCCCCACTCAGAGGAGCAGCAGCAGCCAATCTATCAGCAATAAATCCACAACATGCTCTTGTTCAGAGCAGGTAAATGTTCTTTACCACACAACGAATTTCCAATGTGTACTTTATGACTGATTAAATGAAGATTGAGATAGGATGGGTTTGAAGAAAATGGTTGGAGTCTCTAAGGAAATCTCATCTGACAAGAATCAGTTTTGTACCAGGAGACTCTGCAGTAAAAGGGAATAAACAGACTGGCTTGCTGGCAGGGCAATGACAAGCACAGGAAAAGCAATGGACCGAGCTGATATTCTCAATGCTCTCAAGGAGGCAGGAAGAGTATTTGACTCCAGGGATAACGGTGAATCTGCAACTCCGATAAGACTACAAGAACTTCATGACAAAAGAGGTGACATAAACACTATACAGGTAGCCAAAGAAGAATAGTAAACCAACACAGAACTGGTGTTATTATCCATTGCACGCTGAGAGAGATGCAGAAAATGGATCTGAATACTTATGGAAATGTCTGATGTGCGATGAGGATGATCGACCGATAAATTTGCGAACAACAAATAAGGCTGCACATTTTCATCAAACTTGTGTACTCAGTATTCTTCTTCTTCTTCATTTGCCTTGAAAACAGTAATTAGCACATAGTGTTTTCTGTCAGCTCAACCACGGCCAGCTTCAGATAAAAGGCCATACATCTCAAACGAGAATTCCTGTTTTTGTGAGGCTGGCATGGCCAGTCGGTGGTAATAATTGTTATCCAGTAGATTTATACACATACTGAACTACAGTTTAATTAATATGCAACATGTTTTATTGAATGAATTATTATTCTGAAGATAAATAAATGGGCTATCAGAAAATATTTGCCTTCAAAATTGCAACAGTGCAATAGCTAGCAGGCTTGCTTGTCTGCGCGATGGTCACCGGCTTTAACCTCCTCAAGTTTTAAAAAAGGGACCAAGACTTCAAATTTCTCTGCTTTTTCTACTCTTCCACTCCAGTTTCTTAGGGAAGAGTTTCAGAGAATTATAATGATGCACTTCTTATTATTTTTTTTAGCAAAATTTTGAAAGAAGGTCATTTTTTATATTTGTACGAGGCGAAAGAGTTAATCAATTCATGCCATGAGGCCTCATCTTCTGCCATCTATGGCATTCCCATCCATGTCCTCCTCCCTGCCTATAATTCTCTTCCACTTGAAAATTATTTGAAAAATCCCCTACAATGTAGAATTCTGTTCTTCTTCGTTTGTCGTCTCACTGATACCAGGTCATAGCACATGTCTTTTTTGGTCTTCCTCTCACCTTCCTCCCAGATGTTCTGCTGTAAAACGTCTCATATGTAGTTTGGTCTGACTGTATTCTCACTATACGGCCGAACCATTTCATTCTTTGTCTGTCCATATAATTGAGACATGGTCTTACTTTCTCTCTAATGCTGGTATTCGTAACCCTGTCTCCTCTAGTGTTGTTAGTGACCTGGCTGAGACGGTGCATTTTACATGTAGTTATTTTTGTTCTAGTGCCCTATTGCAACAACATCTAACATCCATGAATGAAGAATGTAAAACAAATAATATGAGAATCAACACTGAAAAGACAGAAGTAATGTCAATAGGAAAAAATAAGACAGATCTAAACATAACAATAGAATACAAAGGCATTAAACAGGCAGCTGAGTTTAAATATCTGGGAACTACATTTACCGAAGATGGGAAATTGGATAAAGAAATTGACATTAGATGCAGTAAAGCAAACCAAGTATTGGGACAGCTAGCCCCCCTCTTACAGCATAAGACAATCCCAATCAGCACAAAGAGACATCTTATTCAAAGCATATTTATTCCAACTCTGTGCTACCAGTGCCAGACATGGTCACTCACAACAAACCATAAAAGAAAATTAGTAACCACGGAAATGAGATGTCTGAGAAGGGCTGTAGGAGTGACCATAAGAGATAAGATAAGAAATGAGATCATAAGAGACCAAGTCGGCACAGAACCAATCCTGGATTACATACAAAGACAACAAGTGAAATGGTTTGCCCACTTAGAGAGAATGCCTTGTGACACCATACCATACAAAGCATACATGGGAAGAGAAGAAGGACGTAGAGCACGGGGTAGACCAAGAACAAGATGGAAGGATAACATCAGAGAAACTCTACAACAGTACGATGTGCCTATGGTCGAGGCAGCCAGAAGAGCTAGAAACAGAACCTTATATCTCCCTCGACACCCACAGCGGTAAAAGAGGAAGTGAAGAAGAAGAAGAAGAAGAAGAAGAAGAAGAAGAAGCCCTATTCATTGTCCATGTTTGGCACTGATAACATCAACTAGGGATAAAGATGCTTCTGATCATTTGCTGTTTTGCTGGAAGGGAGACATTTGGGAGTTTAAGCAATATAGAGTCAAACCCAAGAAGTCAGGGCCAAAAGTATCATATTTTTCCATGTATAAGACACTACCATGAATAAGACGACCCCTATTAAGAACCCAACATTAAGAAATCAATATTTTTTTAACACATTCCGGTGCAGAAGATGACCCTCAATTTGAAACTTTAAAAAGTTTGGGAAAACAGTGTTACATACATGAATAAATAAAATACTTCTAAATTTCTCAAAATAGTAAAATACTAGCATAGGTCTCCATGACAAAGTTGTCAACTCATTTGCTTTGTACTCTAACAGTCGTCGGTTCATTTTATGGACAGCGATGAGTGCAACGTTTTAGATCTCAGGAGATCACTGCTGGAGCTATGGAGTTAGTGCTTTGTGCAATGGAGGCAGCTAGCCACTCTGCATGGTATAAAAGAATTAAGTAAAAGTTAAAACAATTTCGCTGGCAGGAATAAGATGGAAACAAGAGTACCTTTGATTTGTTCACTGCGACACTTCTGGGCAGATGTGTGTTAAGTCCCGTTAGGTATGCCAGGAAAGCAGACAGAAGCATGTACCTGAGTAAAATAGATGCAATCAGTTATCACTTAATCACTTATCATGCAGAGTTGAGTAATTGTCTAAGGGCACCAGAAGTGGGATGGATGAAGCAAAGGAAACAGAAATGGAGTGAAACAGAGGAAGGAAGACAGACAAAGAGAGGGTAAGACAAAAGACAAGAGGGAGACCAACAGACAAGGGGCTAGAGATAGACTGACAAGGCAGTGAAAACAAAAGGGAGGAAGAAAGAAAGACAGAAAAAGAGAGGGATACCAAGAAGCAATGAAGGATGGTGACAATAAGACAAGGAGAAGTGAAATAAAAAGATTGACACTGGCACTGGATAAGACATGTGTTGAGAAACTGAGAATAGTATAACTAGAATGTCTATAAACTGAAACCCACAGGGGCATAGAAAGAAAGGCAGACAGAAAAAAAAATGGAGAAGGGAGCTAAAGAGTGCAGTTAAATAGATGGGGAGGACACAGGGTGAGCTGCATGTAATAGCGAAGAACAGAACAAATTGGTGTGAGTTGGCTGAGGGCTTATGAACCATAAGGGGTTGGACGGCCTAAAAAAGAAGAAGAATGGGAGTGAGGGGAATACAAAAACAGCCAAGGAGATAGGCAAGCAAGCAGTACAAAAGACATGTATTAGTTGAACATTGTAATTTTGTGACATCAGATTTAGCAAATAAATTGCTAATTACACTTATGTTTGTTTCTGTATTTGGTCTGCTGTCAGGTGGGCAGCGAAATAATTTCTCATTTGGTGGGCCATGAATCTAGCCTTAGAGGCTGAATATACCTAGTGGCGTGAAAAAAGGTTTTTTACTTTACTCCTGCACCCTGTCTAGAATGTACAGTCTGCAGACTATTTAGAGCGACTGTGGCATAGTAACTAGTGCACCTGCCTGCCTGGGTTCAACTCCCAGAAGTAGATGGATTTTTCCGACCAGTTAGACCAGTGAGTTTCTTCTTCTTCGCGCTCACCGGCTATAAACTCCACATGAAAGTCCACTTTCTGGACTTTAGTCTTGATCCAGAATTTGAGTTTTGATGGACATCTGTTTTATGAGCATGGCTTATCTGCAAGCAGACCGTTTGTTCCTCATCTTTCAGACAGATGTACTCCGACTTCAGAGGAAACACCCCTAATTAGTCACATCTTGCAACATGCTTGTTACAGTGGTGGTGGGTCCATTCTTTTCCCCCCACAAAACCCACTAACTAATCAACCCTTGTGACAGACTTGTTAGGGGTGCAGTGGGTATATTCCACCCCCAACCCACCCACACAAAAATGAGGCCCTAGAACCCACACGGGGAGAAAATTTTAACAACTAACACTTTAATGGCAGTATCTGCTACTGGACAACTTTTCTCATACTCTCTGTGAGAAGAGTGGAACCATGGCAGCATAGTAGCTAGATGCCCACCTGACGACCCAAATATCTTGAGTTCAATGAGTGCAGTGAGTCTGATTGTTGTTTCATGTCCTTAGTTCCCGGAACAGCCCAGCATAAATTAGTACCAGACAACATCATGGGACAACATCATGAGACAACATCATGAGAAGTAAAAGCAACCGGTGTGATGTTAAACACATCACCCAGCAAGTGCCAACTGGTCTATCAATATATCAGTCTCACATCAAATGAAAGTGAATCACAGACAGTTGATTAGTGAGAAATTATTTGGAAGCTGTGAAGATGTGGTTTCCTTGACAAATTCTGAGAATACTCTAGACATATAAAAAGAGTAATGAAGACGTCTTTGAGAAATTGACTCATGAAGAGAACTGAGTGCCCACATCAGAAAGAGACAAAAACAAGAATAGACCCACTGCCTACCCAAAAGCATGTAAAAAGAGTCGACTAATTAAGAGCTTCCTTCAAAGTCGGAGTGCACCTGCCTGAGAGGCAAGGAACCAACAGCTGCATGCAAATGAGTAACACATGTAAAACGGATGCACACCCAACACTAAGGATCTGGAAAAAGACAAAGTCCAAAAGTGGATGAACAACCAGAACTTTCCACCGGAGTTTACAGCCGGTGAACGCGAAGAAGAAGAAGAAGAAGAAAAAGAAGAAGAAGAATAAGAAGAAGAAAGAGACAATCTACATTCTTTGCTCATGTCAGGAGAAGGAGAACGCTGGAGTACTTCGTAACAGTGGGAAAAGCTGGAAGCGGAAGAGACGCAGAGGAAGACCGAGAGAGAAAGATGCTGGACAGTTTGACATCATGGCATAAAGGATCATCTGTGTCAGACCTGACTGAAAGTACCTGGGACAGAAGGTTGTGGACGGACATGACTACCGACGCCACACAACATGGACTTTAAGACGCACCACCATATGCCGATATGGCGCTGGTATGAAAATGGTCCTTTGCTTTACCTGACTCTGTGACGGAAACAGACTTACTTGATTTCATTTGTGGAGACTTCCTCAAAATCTTCATTGTTACTGAATAGTTGCAAATCATTAACTATACGGATTGCCTTTTCACACAAAAGAATGCCTTCTCTGAGTTGTTTCTGAAAATATTTATAGACAGACATGAGTACAAAGTAAAGTATCATTTAAATGCTTTGGGGCTATTTTAGTAAATTGTTCTAGCCCTATTTTTGGTTCTTTTCTGTTATTTCACCCAATCTTAGGAACTCAAGACATTTTATAGGGAATTCTCAGGAAAGTCCTAAATTATATGGGGGAGGGGGGGGGGGGGGGAAGAAAGGAGGAAATTAGGGTTAGTGTTAGTTGGTATTTATTTCACACCCTAACACCCCTATACTATTGGTAGTTCCTATTAAACCTCAGAATCCCTGAGATGGAGTGAATAAAAAGAACCCTATTTTGATATATGAATTGGGAAGTTTTTTTTTTTTTCTAGACAAAAGGTCACCATAAGGTGTCCAAAAAAAATTGTTTTTTAGAAGCCGGTATGCGTCACATTACAGTAGTGTTGGAAAAGGAGGCTTTGAAAAAATGGTGCTTGTACTGCAGACTGTTGCATATCATCGGGGGAAGAAGCCCTGCCACCTGGGCTTGGGATGCCTTGGTAACATAGTGGCTAGACATGAGCCTGCTGGCAAAAATGTTGTAGGTTCAAACCAGCACCGAGTATGATTTTTTTTTTTAGTTTGCCATTTGACCCAGCCAAAAATGAGTACCAGAATGACCTGGGAAGTTGAAAAGTTAAAGGTTAGAGTTAACAGGTTTTATCCAATTAGGTTTGGTCTTTCTCTGCCGAACCAATAACCATCTGCAGACTGTGTCGCACAAAGCACAAACCCCGTAGGTCCAGTGATGATCCCCAGGGATCTCCATAAAAACTGCATTCATGAAATGAACAGCACAGCTGTGAAATGGACCCACGATCTTCAGAGCGTCAGGCAAATGGCTTGACCACAGGGAGACCTGGGAAGTAAAAGCATGTGGCGTGATGTTGACCACATCATACACACACACACACACAGAGTGCCGACTGCTCTATAAGAATACAAGTCTGGCATAACATGTCCAAAGATAAAGTAAAGCACCCTTTGCCACGCTTTCAGGCCTATTGAGTATACAGGGCCAGACCTCTATTTTATGTACAAAACAGCACTCTGTGGATGATGTGATTAACATCGTGCCGCCCGCCTTTACTGCCAAGGACTTACATGGTACCCATTTAAGGCCAGGTCAACTTGGGAACCAAGTTCATCTCTGAAAAAAGTCTGGCTCTATCAGAAGCCTTATATGCCCAAAGTACCTTAAACTTATTTGGATTTGGAGACGGAAGGGTGGGGGTTGGGGAGACTTTTATATCATATACTGCTCGTGTCTAACCACAGACAAAATGACACTGGCCTAAAAAGGGTACTCAAAGGGCTCTTACTCTTGACGTAAGGCTTATTCCGTAAATTACGCTTATCCATAAATTTTTTTATCCCAACTGGTGTTTATTGGGAGATGTGGTTAACACTCATGCTGGCAGCCTTTATTTCCCCAAGATATCATGATGCCCACTGTAGGGTGTGCTGACCATAGGAGACAATGTATTGACTGCCACTCACAGAAAAAAGTAGAAAGATAGGAGGACGCACTCGACAACATAACAATCGAAAGCTATAGTTACCGTGCTGGGAATGGAACCTGTCACCTCCAAACGGCGTGTGCGCCTGACTATGGAAACAAGCGTGCTCAGAACAAAGCCAGGCAGGGAGGTGACAGGTTGGATTCCCGGCACGGCAACTATAGCTTTCGATCTTTATGTTTTCTAGTGTGTCTTTCTATCTTTCTACTTCTTTCTATTAGTGGTGACCAATACATTGTCTCTTTATTAATTATATATCTATAATATTGAAACGGCTTAAATGGTTTCCCCCCTGTTTATTTATGTGTTTGACCATGGGAGAGCAGATCAGTTGTCCTTATTGTTTTTAAATAACCTCTTGGAAGCAGGCAAGCAACAAATACTGAAAAATTTCCTGTTTGGGTTTTGGGACCCCATTTTAAGAGGAAAAGAAGAGACCCACTGCCTTCCTAACAAGCTTGTCACAGGAGGCGATTAATTAGGGGTATTTCCTTTGAAGTCAAGAGTGCATCTGCATGAGAGGCTGCATACGCATAAGACAGATCTGTAAAATCAATGTTCACACAAAACTCAAGTTCTGGATCAAGACCAAAGTCCATGAGTGGATGAGCAACCAGAACACTGTGACTGAGTTTCTAGCCGGTGAATGCTAAGAAGAAGCTGGGCAGAACACGTTACACTAAACAAAGGATGCCACAGTGTAATAACAGACACTGACGGAAGTGAAACAGAAATTAAAAAGGAAATAGGAATGGCTAAAAATATCTTCAAGAAGATGCCAAAAATTAATGAAAGCTAGAGAGATCACAGACTGAAAATGAGAACTGTCAAATGTTATGTAGACTCAACCCACTGTATGTGCACGGACCTGAACAATGAACAAGCAACTAGAGAAATCAAACTAAGTCTAAGGAGATGGGAGTACACAAAAGACTAGGTCAGATCTGCATGGACACAAGGATAATCAAATAAGAGGTTCCAAAGAGACTGAAAATGAACAGATAGCTGCTGGAAGAAAAAGCTAAGAGACAATTAAAATTTTCCAGCCAAAATAAAAGACACAATCCTCTTTTATAAACTATAAGGTGAGAAAAGTTGAAGGCAAGGATGCAAGAGGTAGATAGTGGTACAAGTGGAAGGACAAAATCAAGACAAACAGCTGTCTGAGAGGGTGTACTACCAAAATTAGAGAACATGTGCTGGAGATACACTGCAGCCAACCTTCACTGTGGAGAAGGCACATGACTGATTGATATTGCTGTGACAGACGTACATCTCTCAAAGGCCAACCCCACGTCCTTGTCCTCGTCGTGAGAGGTGGTAACAGGACAAAGTAGGGGGTTGCTAGATGTGGGCGAAGTATGGTATGGCCTCGTGCCACGGGACCGCTACGGTAGCCACTCCGAAACGTCCTGGCCAAAGGGGCTCTGGTGAAGTTGCGACAGGCCTAGCAAGCCGGCAATGGATTTATTACCGCTACAGAAATCAAAATGAGATATAAACGGACTGATCAAAAGGTATCTGACCATGGCAATGTTAAGGGACTACGAGACAGAACAGCGAAATACAAGATTGCAACACTTAACACCGCTGGCCTGGGAAATAAAACAGAAGAGATTATTGAAATGATGGAAAAAAGGAAAATCAAGTTAATGGGGCTAGCTGACATAAGACGCAAGGGAAATATTAATAAGAAAATACACAGACATCTTATTCAAAGCATATTTATTCCAACTCTGTGCTATCAGTGCCAGACATGGTCACTCACAACAAACCATAAAAGAAAATTAGTAACCATGGAAATGAGATGTCTGAGAAGGGCTGTAGGAGTGACCATAAGAGATAAGATCAGGAATGAGATCATAAGAGAACAAGTCGGCACAGAACCAATTCTGGATTACATTCAAAGACAGCAAGTGAAATGGTTTGCCCACTTAGAGAGAATGCCTTGTGACACCATACCATACAAAGCATACATGGAAAGAGAAGAAGGACGTAGAGCACGGGGTAGACCAAGAACAAGATGGAAGGATAACATCAGAGAAACTCTACAACAGCACGATGTGCCTATGGTCGAGGCAGCCAGAAGAGCTAGAAACAGAACCGTATATCTCCCTCGACACCTACAGCGGTAAAAGAGGAAGTGAAGAAGAAGAAGAAGACGTACATCAGTAAAGATGAGAGTCAAATCACAACACACACAAAATAAAGCAACGTTCAAACAAAATGTAAACAAATTAAACAAAATAACAATAAACAAACTTGAAAATGACATACAGCGTGACCAAATAAATACCTGTAAATGATCCGAAGAAGTTGGTTCGCTTGTGGTTTCGAATTCCTCGTGTAATTTAAATACAAAATCAAAACACTCCGGAAGTGTACGATTATTTTCAGCGTCACTGTCCAGGTCTGAACCACTGGCATATGAAATTGAGGTTGCCATGATTTTAGAATAACAAAGTTATACAATTACTCTTTTTGTTTAAAGGTTTCTACTTTCTAACTTTTCAATTACTGGTCACACATCTATCAGTCTGGAAGAAAAACAAAACAAAAACACCATGAAGAAGAAATAAAACATCAAATCAATTAGGTCATACAATTTTTTTTTAAATAATAATTATTATGAATGTCAGTTTCAAAATAAAACAGATAAACCCTTTTGCCTTTTTTGCTTCTGCCGGACGGTGGCCGATGCATTTTTGCTCCATTTGTAGACTGGATATAGTTTTGTCACCCAGCTTTTGAGTTGAATGCATGGCGAGACGCTGTGAGCTGGGGATTTCATTTGGAATGTTTTTTTTACTGTGACCAACCTGGTGGTGTGAATTGTAGATTCAGAAAATAGCGCAATACCTGTCGTCGCAATTTTGGTGGTGCCTGTATGTGATTAAAATTTATCAGGAGGGCAGCTGCTGATCTGTTGGTGACTTCTGCTATCATCAATGATGAACTGCATTTCTAATTTTGGACAGTTTGTGTTAGCACTTCGGATGACTACTGTATGCTTTAATGCGTGTGTATGCTAAATATGCTGAGACAGCAGTCTGTCAATCTTTCCACAAGGGACTGTGATAAACATTATGTGTATTTTTCGTTGGCACAGGAGCAGAGCTCCTATGAAGTTGAAACTAAGACTACCAATGACCAGGCCCCTAGAGCACTAACGAAAAAGGTCATGACCCTAGTAGAATTCTATCACTCAGATTATGTTAATTTTTAACGCGATTATTCAGACCCATCATTCACAGGAGAACCCATATATTTATATACCACTTTCACCCCCGCAACAAAATCTGGCTATCCTCCGAATAACGGTCCCAAATTATCGAGGCCGAAAATATTCCCTAACAGGGCCTCGGTCACTTGTCAATTGCGGACTTCCCACGACTTCCGCCAAGTGTATTCCCCCTCGCCACTCACGCGTCGTGGCTTGGGGCTAAACTAGACGGCTGGGACTCACGAACAAATAAAATTTTAAAAAGCTGCAGGAAATGCGGTAGCTGCTGCTCGTGAGTCCCAGCCGTCTAGTTTTGCACCAATCCACGCCACGTTAGCGACATGGGGGATATGCTTGGCAGTGGCGGAAGTCCCCGGAAGTGCGCAATTCGGCAGTGGGGGTATAGTTCCCGGATGTGCGCAGTTGACACGTGACTGAGGCCCTGAGTGTTAGGGAATTTTTTTTCGGCCTCCATAATTTGGGACCATTATTCGGAGGATAGCCAAACATCTAATTAACGTTTAGTTTTTCTATTTTCAACGGTAGAGTACTGACTGCTTCAGAGCCTGTGCTGAGCTTCTTCGGACTCAGACTTGAGTTAGAAGAAAGAGAAAGTAGAAAGAACGGAGCACATATGATGGGTTACACCCGTACTGTATGCCATGATGTTGATCCATTGTTTAAACCTCAAACTGCATAGAAACTCTCATTGACATAAAATATCCTAAAATCCAACAATGATAATTGAACTTCGCGTTTTCCATATTCCAGAACTGTCATTCAAGTAAGCGTCAACTTCACTGAATTTTGCATCTATACAAACCTGGCTTACTAAAATGCAGTCTAGTGGTTCCCTGCCTCTTAGTCAGATGCATTCAGACCAAAGTTAAGAAGCAGACGAACAACCAGAATTTTGCGCCGAAGTTTATAACCGTTGATTGCTAAGAATAAAAAGACGAAACAAAAACAGTCATGGTAGCCGCCATCTTGGGTAGTAAACACGCAGAGCTGGCAAAGAGGTTAGTTGCGTACGATGAAAACGGGAGGGGGGTAAAGGGGCGGAATTTGGGATAGAAGAGGAGGAAAGAAAGAAAGAAAGAAAGAAAGAAAGAAAGAAAGAAAGAAAGAAAGAAAGAAAGAAAGAAAGAAAGAAAGAAAGAAAGAAAGAAAGAAAGAAAGAAAGAAAGAAAGAAAGAAAGAAAGAAAGAAAGAAAGAAAGAAAAAAAGAAAGAAAGAAAGAAAGAAAGACGGCTCAATTTCTGAAAAGTAAAATATTAAAAAAGGATTAATATAGAGTCATATATTTATTTTATCACCATCATCATGATGGAGCAGGTCCTTTGCAGAACGTCGCTCTCATCATAGTCTGCCTGAAAGAAACTCGGTCTCTCGCCAGTTATCCCGCCTCATGTACTTTCATACTCAAGGAGTCACTTATATCCTGGGCCCATCTTCGTGACGGTCGGCCCCTGTCCCTCTTTCCTGGTACCATGCCTTCAGCTATAATTTTTTCCAATCCGTCGTGGCGCTTGATTTGACCGAAATATTTCAGCTTCCGAGAAAGGATGCTGTTTATTAGCCAACCTTCCTTGATGTTAAGATCTTTTCATATGTCAATATTTCTCCTCTTCTTTGTTCAACATATTCTGAGAATCTTTCTATAGCATTTCAGCTCAAAAGCCCCTATACTCTTTCTTATATTATATTACCACAAAATCATTTTCGAGTACAACTAAACAGTTGAACAGGGTTTGTGGGACTTGCCCCAGGGGGATTTGCATCTGAATAATGGCACTTCGTGCTACATGATGTTGATGACGCTGATGCGTAAAATATATTTAAGTGACAGCTAATACATAGAGTGGGAGACATTTCTTAACGCGGACAGGTCTTGCTAGTCACACTCGCCATTGCCATGGGCTGTGAGTCCCAGGCCTCCTCATAGCGCAATGTAACACGATTTTTTACGTATCCAGAAACCATGAGTTGTAAACCCTTTGGCTCGGTACTATGGATAGACGGAAAGGTGCCAGTCGATTAAGATAGAATGAGTTGAAGTAATAATTGTATTGAATGGTTACAGAAAAATAGTGATATTAATAATAATAATATTAATAATATTAATAATAATAATAATAATAATAATAATAATAATAATAATAATAATAATAATAATAATAATAATAATAATGCTCTCAGTGGCCCCCAAAAAAGGCCAACATGGCAGGCTAAGAACAAGAGACAGGCCTCCAGAGCGACCCAGGGTCCGCAAGGAAGACAACATCCGACAGTCCCTAACTGACCGAGGACTGGAATGGAACAAAGCCAGAAAGAAAACTGCTGATAAAGACGTCTGGCGTTCTCTCTGGCAGACCTCTACACCCCAAGGTAGAAGAGGCGCGACAAAGTAAAGTGGACTATCTTGACCCTTGTGAGTGTATCTGTATATCTATACCCGTCTCTGTGACTGTATATCTATATCCGTCTCTGTATCTGTATATCTATACCCGTCTTTGTAACTGTATATCTATATCCGTCTCTGTATCTGTATATCTATAACCGTCTTTGTATCTGTATATCTATACCTGTCTCTGTACCTGTATATCTATACCCGTCTCTGTGTCTGTAAATCTATATCCGTCTCTGTGTCTGTATATCTAAACCCGTCTCTGTATTTGTATATCTATACCCGTCTCTATGTCTGTATATCTATACCCGTCTCTGTGTCTGTATTTCTATACCCGTCTCTGTATCTTTATATCTATACCTGTCTCTGTATCTGTATATCTATACCCGCATCTCTATCTGTATATCTATATCCGTCTCTGTATCTGTATACCTATACCCGTGTCTGTATCTGTATATCTATACCCGTGTCTGTATCTGTATATCTATACCTGTCTCTGTATCCGTATACTTATACCCGTCTCTGTATCTGTATATCTATACCCGTCTCTGTATCTGTATATCTATACCCGTCTCTGTATCTGTATATCTATATCCGTCTCTGTATCTGTATATCTATACCCGTGTCTGTATCTGTATATCTATATCCGTCTCTGTATCTGTATATCTATACCCGTCTCTGTATCTGTATATCTATATCCGTCTCTGTATCTGTATATCTATACCCGTGTCTGTATCTGTATATCTATACCCGTGTCTTTATCTGTATATCTATACCCGTATCTGTATCCGTATACTTATACCCGTCTCTGCATATCTATACCCGTCTCCCTGTCTATGCAAATTTAAATATAACGGACCCAATGCCAAGTGGACTCATGTGTTAAGATGGCACTGAGCGCAGCGACTAAACATTTATTTCCCCCCCCCCCCCTCTTTGGTTTGAATCTTCCTAGGGGCCTATTTTTGTAAATGCTATAGAGCTCTTAGGTCGACCAAACCTAAAAGTGGTAACAGGTCATGTCCACGGAAGTGAAGGTGGTCTGTGTAATGTTGATCACATCTCCCATACAGATCCGATTGGTCTGTTCTGTTAGGGCTCTAACATAGGGTGACAGTACGTCCCGTTTTCTCTAGGACAGTACAGTTTGTTAGATGTGTCCCCTAGAGAGGCTGATGTTTGATTTTGATGTCATCATGCTCCCGGAGCTAAAGGAGGTAAATTTGGGAGGACCACCCCCAACCCAGTGCGTCCACTTGTGACGGATCGTGGAACGACCTCTAGATATAGATGTTAGCTGCGGAAACCCAATAAGCAGCTGCGGGCCAACTGGCGCTGGGCAGAGGGGCGAGGTGAAATGTCAGGGTGGGATCTGAATTCCTTAAAAAATACCTCATATGTTCAGAGATGTGCCTACCAAGCAAGTCGGGGAGCTAAAACCTTTTCCTCGGGTAGGTGGAACCCGTTAGCTTTGAACAGCAGTCCGTCTAGGAGACGGCAAAACTCAAAATATAAAACCCCAAGTTCCAGGTAGGCCAACGTGCTGAGGAAGTGGATGGCCACAGGTGAGCTGGTCGTTAACGTTGGACGTCTGGCGGGTGTGCGGGGCAGTATCACGCCTTTAGACATCCACTGCTATTTCCCTAGCATGCAGGAAATACCAGGGTGACCGGTCATTTTCAGCAGTAAATTTTTTTGGGGGGGGGGGGAGATTAGGGGGGGGCGGGGGGGGGGGGGGGGGGACACTCATGGATTAAAGTATACATAGGAATCGTCGCCAGAGCTACAGTTTTCAAGCTGTGCTGCAGAGGCGTAA